CGGCGGCCGCGGCGGCTGCAGCTCCAGGGAGGGGGTCTGAGTCGCCTGTCACCATTTCCAGGGCTGGGAACGCCGGAGAGTTGGTCTCTCCCCTTCTACTGCCTCCAACACGGCGGCGGCGGCGGCGGCACATCCAGGGACCCGGGCCGGTTTTAAACCTCCCCTCCGCCGCCGCCGCACCCCCCGTGGCCCGGGCTCCGGAGGCCGCCGGAGGAGGCAGCCGTTCCGAGGATTATTCGTCTTCTCCCCATTCCGCTGCCGCTGCTGCCAGGCCTCTGGCTGCTGAGGAGAAGCAGGCCCAGTCGCTGCAACCATCCAGCAGCCGCCGCAGCAGCCATTACCCGGCTGCGGTCCAGAGCCAAGCGGCGGCAGAGCGAGGGGCATCAGCTACCGCCAAGTCCAGAGCCATTTCCATCCTGCAGAAGAAGCCCCGCCACCAGCAGCTTCTGCCATCTCTCTCCTCCTTTTTCTTCAGCCACAGGCTCCCAGACATGACAGCCATCATCAAAGAGATCGTTAGCAGAAACAAAAGGAGATATCAAGAGGATGGATTCGACTTAGACTTGACCTGTATCCATTTCTGCGGCTGCTCCTCTTTGCCTTTCTGTCACTCTCTTAGAACGTGGGAGTAGACGGATGCGAAAATGTCCCTAGTTTGGGCGACTATAACATTTAACCCTGGTCGGGTTGCTAGGTCATATATTTTGTGTTTCTTTTCTTGTATTCAACCTAGGGTGTGTTCGGCTAGACGGAACTCTTGCCTGGTTGCAAGTGTCGAGGCACCGATTGCTTGCTTAGGCTGTCTATACGGTCTCTTCCTGAGGGCTATTGTCCGTTAATACAGAATACAGTATGCTGTTAGTGGATTAGAGAGCTCGGTAATCCGGTCTCCTAAATGAACAAAAAAGTAGACGCTTTGAGGTTGAGCATATTTCGATTAAATCTTGGCTTAGGCCCTAGATCAAGGGTTTAGATCAGAATAAAATGAAAATTAGTGTTGCACGTATGCATATTGCATCAGAATCTTGCAGTGATTGTTTTAGTTTCCTGGGTTGCATTGATAGATTCTTTTAAAATATGACTGATTTGCATAACTTTAGAAGCAGAATAATTTTCAGTATATATGGTGCACATTGAGTGCAAAAAGTAGTTTTGTTAATGTTTTACACTTAAGTTACAACTTTGGACTGTATTTAGAAGTTTTGTAGTTTGAAATCAATAGTGCCATAATATACCTTATAAGGCGTTCTTACTAGATCTTTGTTATATTTACCTTTTTCTCTCCCTATGGGATGATGTAGGATAGGGCTTGAAATTTGCACTTCAGTAGCGTTTAATGTTCAGTGCTCTTGTCATAAACATGGAATGGATATTGAGTAGTTTTTGATCCCAGATGACAATGTGTAGGTTCAAGGGTATTGTGTGTGGCAAGTGAAGATTGCAAAGATAAAACTTCAGTTCATGCTTGAAATTTAAGTATTGTGATGCCAGAATTGCTGCTCACCGTTTTTAGATTTCAGGTTCTCTGACATCTTTTGGTATTGTTAATTTCACTGATTTGTGTAGAATGTCAAGTGAATTTTACCAGCTAATATCCAGAAATGCTGGCAAGAGAAGTTTACTCCAGCTTTAGATTGTAGGTATGTTAGCTTTTTTCATACAGTGTATTAAATTTACTGAGTCAGCTTGTTGAATAAGACAGAAGCCCGAGAATTTTAACAGTGTATAGCTTTAGTTGTCTAAAAGTTAGGCCTTCGGACTTCAAAAGTTAGTGGTCATCGAAAAGCATGAATCTTTGCAGTTTCAGGTACAACAGACTGGTTTTGGTTAGGGATGGGGATGGGGCCCTCATTTTGCAGAATGGAAAGTATTGACAGGAATTGAGAGCTATTGGTAGGCCAGTGTATAAGGTATGTGAAAACAGAAGTTATTGGTCTGAAGTGACTGAAGCATTTAGGCTCTATCAAGGCCTAAAATTTGGTAATATGAGTTTGGTAATGCGAATTGTGGCCGTGGACAATATTTAGTTAAAATTATGTAATTGCATAAGTACTAGCAGAGTATTTTTAATAAAAATTATTTCTTAGCAAGTATCAGTTGCATTTTGTCTAAAGGTAGCGTGACACTGCAGTGTCTATATGTCCTGCTAAAAATTGTGGGGAAGATTTTTTTTTAAGACAACGTTTTTATCGGGAGAGGTTTTATTCCCTTGGATTATGTTAGCTGCATATACATGTGCACAGTTAATTTTGCCCAAGTTTTTGTTTTGAAATGAATATAAAACTTACTGAAGAAGTAGCTTCCCAAAATTTAGTTTTCTGTTAAGTCAGTAATATTATTTTAAAACAGTATTTGCAAATTTTGAAGTTGGCATTAATTGAAAATGTTACTAAGGCTAAACTGGAAGATAAAAATGTTACTAAGGCTAAACCCGCTTGCCCAGAAGATAATTATGGAAAAAATTCTTTTGTGACTTCCAAAGCAGTCTACTGTTAGCATGAATTACTGACAGTCATCCAAATATATAGGAACAAAAAATTAAATGTTTATGTAACTTTGAAAAAAAAGCCTCTGAAGAAAATAATTGAATGCTGTCTGGGAGACAGATTTCTTTCAGCACTTAAAGTACATACACACTACTTTTACTTTTCCCACTTTATTTAAAATTGTCAGGGTTATTAAGACCTTAAAATTATTCTACCAGGTTTTTACATGTGAGCTGTGATGTGACTGGCATTTCCTTTGATTTCAGAGTATGTGGGTCTCTACACATGAAATTTATGTGACTTAAAACTTTCTCTAAAATTGTACTTTTAGTTATGCATAGAAAGCAGTATCAAATATTGTGTCAAATGACTAATAACACTTGATTTCTAGAGTTGTGGTTTTATTGAGCCAAAAGTTGGTATGAAAAAAAGTCAGTGAGGAAAGTCAATGAAGTGCTTGCTTTTTTGATAATTGCACTTCCAATAATTTTGATATTCCAACGTACTTGGTTTGCTTGCTTTTCTGTTTATGGGGGTGGGAAGGCATTAAAATGGTCATTGAGGACTTTGTCTTTGGCATGCTGTAGTATTTATTTCGGCAGCTAACCTGTGAAAAGTTAAATTCCTTTATGAAAGTAGTGATTGGAGTATTTTTATCTGGTAAAGAAAGATTAATAATGAAGCCATTTCTCTGACGAAAACTGAGGACAATAATTCAGTTTTAAAATATCGCAAAATTAAATTATTCTAAACATTTGTTAGTAGGGTTATATACTTTATATTAGTCTGAAAATAGTGCTGAATTTGAGACTATAGAAAAGTAGTGTATTTAGGGTATGTGGAAACTTTAGGCTTCTGTTGTATTTTTATTGTTTGGTAGATTTGCCTCTTTTCAAATAAATCTTCACAGGGAATACTTTTAACTTCTAGAGAGTACAGTGACTATTGAAGTTACCTAAATTACCTCAAGGTAAGTGATTACTGAAATTGATCATGAGGGTTTTAAAAAATATTCTATTCACAATATTTATTTTACATTGTTTTGTATCTGCTAAGTTATATTTCCTGAAAAACGTGACTGGACCACCTAATTGCTATATGATAACTTACAAACTTCATTTTTCATAGTGCTTATTCAAGAGTAAAGCACAACTGAAAGGAGTAATGTACAGTTTATGTGAGGAAAAAGGAATTTTATTGCTGCCAGTGTAAAAGTTTGCACAGCAGTATAGTCATCAATGCAGATTTACATTGGTTATAATATACTAAGTAAATACTAAATGATTAAAGATAATAAAATATGGTGAGGTATAACCACCTTCATTTTAAACTTAATTTTAGAAGATAGTAAAGTTCCTTTAGTACCTTTTTAGAATTTTATTTTCAATAACATGGGGAAAGCAACTGGTGATATTTTAATTTTTATATGAAACAGTGTATCTGCTTTCTTATAACCACATAAAATATATAAACTAAGTGTTACGAAATGGCTTACTTTTTGGAAGTGAAGAAGTCTTCAGTTCTTATTTTCTAGTGTTATTTTGAAATTTGCCTCCATTTGCTGTTTGTTCATTTGGTGATAGCGCAACACTTAAAAAAATATTTTAAGCTACTTCTGAAGTAATCACTTAAGTGACTTTTAATGGAGGAGTATTTGTTATGGGAAATTCAGTTCACAAAGTTTTAACATTAATTCACTTGAAGTAAACGTTTATTTTTAAATTTTCATCTCAATCTTTTTGGTAAGACAAAAGCTTAGGAAATCAATTTTATTATTGATATTGTGTGTGACTTCAGAGTTTGTAAAGAGAATTGTAAAAGTGTTGCATGCATATGACAATTTTCTGTTTAATTGAAATGTGAGGCCTCTGCTATACTACAAGGATTTAACTTCCAGAAAATGTGATATTAACATAGCTTAAGAAATGTATTTTTTTTTTTTCTGTAGAAACCATTGGGTTAAACAAACATTTCTGAAGTTTTATTACATAGAATCCATTAGTTCTTACTCTTGTTACTTTTTTCTTCATTTTTTCTGTTAAACTTGATTTTCAAAGTCAGCACTGAAGAATTCATCTCGTTGCCCGAATTCATTAAGAAAAGAAGTTAGGATTTGTTTTGAAGATAGTGACTTAGGAAATTTGTGAGATTGGGGTAGTCAGTTCTGTTTTACAATTGCTTTCTATCTAGTAGCTTTGAAATTAATGCAGTTGCTATCAGAAAGAATAATGTTGAGGTTAGACTGACCTTAGATTGGTAAGGATTTGCTGAGCAAACTGATAACTGTAAGTCTTTTATAGGGTGTATTACCGCCACATATACATTGTTCCGTAGGTGGTTAAAAGTATATTGGTCTGTGTTTGATGATTCTCTTTGTACATATTGAATATATGTATTCACTAATGTAAAATACTTTCATTTGTCAAGAAAGGTGAAATTAGTATATTGTACTTGACTCTTCACCTTTCCCCTAGTTTTTTGAATTTTTTTCATTGGTTGCAGAGGAAGTATTAGCAATTTCATTCTTCTAAAATAATTTGCACTGGATTAAATAAGTATTGGCAATTATTAATAGAAGAATAACATAATTTAGGGGTGAATTAATTTTAGTTGGGAAGTTTTTGTATAGTTAAGGTAGACTCTTCATTTGCAACAGTTGACATTAGGACATGTGTGGACATCTTCAAGGCATTACTTTTTGGCAGTGTTCAGAATTTTTTTATTTTTATTTTTATTTTTTTTTTTGAGATAGAATCTCACTCTATTGCCCAGGCTGGTGTGCAATGGCGGGATCTCGGCTCACTGGAACCTCTGCCTCCCAGGTTCAGGTGATTCTCCTGCCTGAGCCTCGCAAGCAGCTGGGATTACAGGTGCATACCACCATGCCCAGCTAGTTTTTGTACTTTTGGTGGAGATGGGGTTTCAGCACCTTGGCCAGGCTGGTCTCGAACTCCTGACCTCAAGTGATCTGCCTGCCTCGGCCTCCCAAAGTGCTGTGATTACAGGCGTGAGCCATTGTGCCCGGCCAGTGTTGAGAATATTTAGAGATGGATATTGTAGCTGTATCTGCCATCAAAGGAATTT